TTCTTTAGGAAATATGTTTCATTACGACGATTCAAAAACGTTTACATATAATAATTTACCTCGAAATTCACTATACGCGATTATCGTTTATTGATTATATTATGTTGTTTAAAAAGTATTCCTATCAGCTTTGTGTTAAATGGATGCTAAATATAAAAGAATGCTTCAATATTGATAGCAATTTATAAACGAAATATCTGTTGAGATGTGTCTAGAAATTATTAATACTTATTTTTATTTATTTATTAAAATAATAAATAAATAAAAATAAGTATACATTTATCTATATTGAGTACTAGTTTTTCCCCGCGATCTCGCCCGCGTGGAATATGGATTTCATGGGTTTTAATTTTTTTGCGCGGAACCCTACTTCTTTTTCTAAAACAAAAGTAGTTCAAGTTATTCCTTATATCATCTATCAGCTATCTGCCAGTGAAAGTCCCGTCAAAATAGATCCAGCTGTTTCGGAGATTAGCTGGAACAAACAGACAGACAGACAGACCGACAGACAGACAAAAATAGTACTTTCATATGCATTTAATAAAAAGCTGTTATTTTAACATTACAAACAGACACTTCAATTTTATTTATTTGTAGATATAGATATAAGATATTATTCATATTGGTGTCATTTTAAAGGGAATATAATGTACTATTATAATAATAAAATAATTGTCTCCAGTAAATATTATACTTTTCTTGTAAAACTCGAAATAAGTAACAAATAAATACGATTTATTTTTCGGTAGTAATCGTTTTTGTTGCGACAGTCTCACGCGGTCGTAAAAAAAGTTACTGCGCGGACAGGTGGGACGAGAATCACTTGCGCAGCGTGCGACGGTGGATAGGTAGTCTACCTACTGTTATTACCTAGATACCCACAACCTATACAACAAAATTTGGCAAACTGTCGCTGCGTCGTGGAAACTAAAAACTAATCTGCCTACCTACCTGCCTAAGTACGTCGGTACTAAGGAAACTCTATCTAGTGATATTGTGTGTATATAAAACAAAGTAAGAAGACAGGTAAGTATTTTTGAAGACAATTTATAGGTAGGCAGAACTAATTACAATTATTATCTAAATATTATAAATGCGAAAGTTTGGATGGATAGATGTATGTTACTCAATCACAGCTGAAGGGATCTGGATGATATTTAGCTCAGAGATAGGTTATACCCGGTCTGGAATAACACATTTGATATCGTTTATTCAGGTATTTCGTTCCTGTGGGATAATTTTCGAGTTCACGCGTTTAAAGCCGCTGGCAACAGCTAGTACGGATATAAACTGCGATGACTGTTCCAGTTCATGCTTCGGCGTCGTGAACTCTTGAGTGACCGCTGCATGACCACCCGGGGAAAACAAAACATAATAAAATAAGCAATCTATATTAGGTATCTATAGAGCCATAGAGGTAAAGTATAAAGCGATAACGCAGCGCCTAATAATTTAGTACGAGTTTGTAGGTAGGTACTGCTGATTTCTCAGCAAGCGTCGAGCGGCACAGAATAGGGTGGTATGTATGTGTGCATCGTGTTCGTGTAACTTCGTTTTTGTTCTAACGGTTCGGAACGCCGTACGAACAAGACGTGCGTTCTAACTGCTCTTCACTGATACTATCTCTGTCGGGCGCGATGCCAGGTGAGACAAAGTGCTTTTTGGCCGCGCCCACCAATGAGTTCGAGCCCGCGACTTGTGCCACCTTAATGAAGAAAGTCACGAAAAAAATAGTGAAAGAAAATGATTGAGTACTCTATATACATACCTACATTTTATTATTATCACAAATGCAGTACTAATTTTGAATTGAAAATATAATACTGCTATAAAGATAACCTAAATTTTTGATATTAAAATGAGCGATATTAAAAGTAGCCCTCTTTATATACACAAAAACACACACACGCGTATAGTTTAAATTCTCAATTTAGATTCTCAATATGTATATATATACTCGATTAACCGGACTAATTCGGCAGACTTCGGCACGGTGTTTGTGTGCGTGCGACTAGTCGTATGCGTGTACACTAGCTGCTAACTGAATGATAAAAATTCCTGAATAACCTACATGTATTGTAAGATATTAAAAATATTTTAAACAATATTAACTTCTCATTTATACAATAAGAGAAAAAAAATTGTTTTCTTATCGGTCACCACGCTCAAAAAGTGTAACTTGATTTAATATCAAAGACTTAACTGCATAAATAAAATAAATAATTAATTATAATTGCATAAGTTGATAAAAAATGCTATGCAATAGCTTTACCGCGGTAGTCCCCGAGTGCCACACGTCTTTTTTTTGAGCGTACTGATAAGGTAATGGCAAACCTTTTAATTTCTTTATTTGTTTCTTAAAGTCTTTTGGTCCTGCACAATCTTGTAATAAAATTGTATTTTCAGTATTTATTATAAGATGTTTAGATTGAAGATCTTTCAAAATTTGTGAAAAATTGGCGATTTTATTAGACTGTCTTCTACACTTTTCATTCAATCTTTTAATTTTATTTTTCTGTGTCGTTAATTTTTCTTTTAATTTAGTAAGTAAAGTTGTGCTAATCTGAAAAATATAAAAAAAGATAATTTAACTCAGTATCATGTAGGTAAATTTAAACTGAATGATTTTAAAGCTAAAGCATGTCAACCATTGCAAATAATTCGGTTATTCGGTTTATGCACCCTAGGGTGGATACTCGGAGACGCTTGTTTATCTATTAACCCCAGACAGGGTTCAACAGGTTTAACAATGAATATACTCATGCACTTTTTATTAATTACTCATTTTGAAAACTTACACAAATAAAAATCATATTTCGTAATATTGCATTTAAATTAAATTTAAGTCCCTCGTTTTAAATAATATTATCATGTAATTTCATACTTCCAGGAACTTACCAACACTGATTTCATTATTGAGTAGACGTAATCTTAAATTCTGAATAAATTTGTCTCCTTCAATCGTTTTTCAATTTCTTATTACAGCAGATGTGTTAGTGAAAAACTGGGTTTTTATTGCAAGAATCTCAAAAACTTTACTAAATAAGTATTTTTGTCTTTAAGTTCATCTGAAATCGTTTTATACTAAGGTTCCAATAAATTTGCAGTCCTGTAAGGCACAGAATATAATAACATTATCTATATATCAAAGTAATTCCTTTTTGTTTAATTATGTTTTTAGGTTAACTTCATTCGAAAAAGTCCTTTAGAAAGACATAAGCATTTTTTATGAAAAGAAAAAGTTTACTAATTAAGATTATTATTAACTTCGCCATAATTTAGTAATTGTCGTTTTAATTTGAAAATTAATGAAGTGTCATCAGCAAATAATACTATATCGTGGTTATCCCCTACTATGTAAGGTAAGGCACTAAAATATACAAGAAACAAAAAGGGCCCGAGAATAGAGCCTTGAGGCACGCCCATTTGTACTGTCAACCGGGAAGAACTCTTGCTATTAATAATAATTACTCATAGTATTTGTATTTGTTGTTTAACGTCTATGTCTCACCTATGTCGGTAGTTGTTGGGAGCACTAAGCTCGAAGTTGTTGACGAGTACGTTTACCTGGGACGAATAGTCCGGCTAGGTAAGTCCAACTTCGACCGAGAGGTCAATCGACGGATTCAACTCGGCTGGGCAGCGTTCGGGAAATTACGACACATCTTCTCGTCAGGTATACCTCAAAACCTGAAAACTAAGTTGTACAACCAGTGCGTGTTGCCAATGATGACATATGGAACTGAGTCGTGGTCCTTCACTGCTGGCCGTATGAGGACGCTCATAGTCGCTCAGCGAGCTATGGAGAGGGCTATGCTTGGAGTTTCTCTGCGTGATAAACTTAGAAATGCGGATATCCGCAGTAAAACCAGACTGACCGACATAGCCCAACGGATTAGTAAGGTGAAGTGGCAATGGGCCGGCCATATAGCTCGAAAAACCGACAACCGTTGGGGGAAAAAGGTTCTCGAGTGGCAGCCTCGTTGAGCGACCTCCACTAGATGGATTGACGACCTGGTAAGACATGCAGGAAGTCGATGGATGCAAGTGGTTCAGGACCGTGCTTTGTGGCATACCTTGGGACCTTGGGGGAGGCCTATGTTCAGCAGTGAACTTGTAAAGGGCTGTAATGATGATGATGATGACTCATAGTAAGTAGTATTGATCAGGTCTCCAATGGTTATACACACAGTTCATAGTTTTTAATATTTAAATACAGTCCACTTGCTCTCAATCTGCTTCACTATTGTTATGTAAAAGAATGCAAAATTAATAAGTTTTCTTAAAATATAACTAATTTTTAAAACTATCAGGTTCTGCAGCATATCTCATTATTTTCCATAACAATGTTTTCTTTTATTCATTTCTAAACAAGATTGTTTTAGTAAGATGATTGCGGCCGGCGTATTACGTATCTTGTAGAAGGCTAGCGATAGCGAAATTAGCACAATAATTGCTGATAAATCGCAAATTCGTATTATGTATCAGCGATAACCAAGCCCCAGCTAACTAGCGACAGCGCTGCCTCTGTCGAACAATCGGTAAACTAAATATGCATTCAACAGTCTCAAGTTAAGTTCGCGCCAGTTTTGGTATTACTATTACGCACAGAGTACCTTCGATTGCTCGACGCATTTGTCTTATTATTCAAATAATATAATAACGCGTATTATTAACAGTGTGTTTATTTTACTACGTTTGTTGACATCACAGCATCTTAGTATTAAAATCATTAAAATAGTGCTTGCTTGGATTATAGAAGTGTTTGTCTAGTGTTTGTATAGATTGTTATTTCTTTGATTTCGATATGGCTCGTGCAGTTCTTTTGATTGAAGCACTAGAAGTTGAGGACAGAAGATATCAAAGCCGTACCACAGCGCAATTGAGGCGAAATCTCAGAGATCAAGCTAAAGCTTTGGAACTCTCTGACTGAGTTTAAAGCCCACTACAGACTTTCCAAAGAGCTCTTTCAGGATTTGTGCACCGAGTTAAAGCCATACATGGTCGCGTCAAGAAGAAAAAGAAAAATTAACGTGGAATGCAAGGTACGAAAAGAATATTATGTTGGCTCACTGACTATAAACAAAATTTTTGAATGTTATAATGGTTATTATTAGATTTGATAATATTCTCATTGATTTACAGGTACTTACAGCACTCTCATTCTACGCTACAGTTTCTTATCAAAAGCCTGTGGGCATGAGCTATTTGCATGGGCTTTGTCAAGCTAGTGTATCAAATGCTGTTAAAGAAGTGACAATGGCTTTAAACAAATATAATATTCTAAAAAAATACATACATTTCCCTGGAACACGACCAGAAAGACAGGCTATTATAAATGGGTAAGAATTACTAAGCATTACGAAAGTGAATTGAATGCTGAAGGGAAAATAATTGCATTCTTCATTTAATTATTTTAGATTTTCAAATAAATATGGTTTTCCTGGTTGCGACCTCATGAGCTATGCAGGCCCACAGAACATGAGGAAAGATTTTTTAATAGAAAACATTACCATTCCAGGAATGTTCAAATAGTAAGTAAAATTATTCTGAATTAATAATAGTATTTAATATTTATAATTGGGTAATCATTAAACTTACATAAATATATATAAAACCTTTTCAGATATGTGATAGTGATTTAAATATAATAAATATAGATGCTTCTTTTGGTGGTGCTACACATGATGTTCATATTTGGAAAAACTCTCAAATATCACAGCATCTGCAAGAGCTTCATAATAGAGGAGAGGCTGTCTGGTTACTTGGTTTGTAGAAATACCATATTAATTATACAAAAATACTATCATTTTATAAATATTCTAATTCAATAATTAATTAAAATAAATTTACAGGTGATTCTGGATATCCATTAAGACCTTGGCTTTTAACTCCAATTGTAAATGCTGAACCTGGTAGTGCATATGAGCATTACACTAATATGCACTGTCTCACAAGAAACACTGTGGAACGGTGCATAGGAGTCTTAAAAGCACGTTGGAGATGTTTACTGGCACACAGGGTACTGCATTATAACCATCACAAAAAAATCTTCTTGCACAACATCTGCAACAGACATCGACTGCCTGTACCTCAATTGCCAAGCTCTGACATACTGGAAGACCAGAATAATCAAATTCCTCAGCAACCACTGCAGGGTGTCGGGGTTGGTGCACAACAACAGCTCTTAGCTAGTGGTCGGCAACAAAGAGATTTTATTGTGCAACGATTATGGTCTGCTCCTAGGCCATAATATTTATAAAAATAAATATATTATTGAATATACAAGATATATAAGCTTAAAGAATTTTTTATATACATATTATTTTCTACTGACTTCAAACAGGAGGTACTCAATTCGACTGTATGTTTTTTAATGTGTATTACCTCATAACTTCTTTCTGGGTGAACCGATTTCGATGATTCTTTTTTTATTTGAAAGCTGGTGCTTAACATGTGGTCCCATATAAATTTGATCAAGGTCTGACCAATACTTTTTGAGTTATTCTTACTAATTTATATTGAAATTGGTTGTACAAAATTTTTAATTATGTATCAACAGCAATATTGTTTATCGTTACCGTTAAAGTCTTCTGCTGAACATAGGCCTCCCCCATAGATTGCCTCATAGGCATATATTTAGGGGTATGTCTGCCGTAGTTGCCAGGCTCAGCGCAGCTCATTATAAGGAAGACACTGCTGCCTATCTGATTTGTTTCCCATTATAATATTGCTTATAATACTGTTTATATTTTTTTAACTATTTGTTCTAATATGCAATTTCTTTACCTTTAAAATGTGTAGGCATTGTTTTTAATCTTGTATATTAATAATTTTATTTGAATTTTTATTTAATATGAAATGGCTTTACTTTTTTAATGTCTATGGATATATTTTGTTTAATTCCTAATAATTTTGCGTTTATATATTATACTTATCAACACTTAACATCCCTCACTCAGAGGATGATTTTACATTGAATTTGGATTAATTTATGTTTAATTTCAGTAAGCACCAGGTGATCTCAGTTGCTATAACAGAGAAAAACATTTAAGTGGTGACTCCTCAATATTGGCTAACAAATTGTTAATATGTAAAGAATGTAAGGATATTGTGAGCCTCTGTTGAGGGAACACTAGAAATAGCATGTGTTGATTTTGAGCACCTCATTGTTGTTAGTGTTTACAGACCCCCATATTCTTTTGAAAAAAAAAAATATGGAGGAAGTTTCACTCTAGCTTAATAAACAGAATAAATGTTATCATATGTGGAGACTTTAATATCAATCTCCTTGAAACTTCTTCCATGAGTATTAAGCACATTCAACCTTGTAAATTTGTTCTTAGAGCCAAAACATATGGCAAGGCCTAGTGCAACTTATATAGGTAACATTTTTACTGATGTGCCCTTACATAAACTAATTACCAACATGTATTGCAGGGCATATTGTAACTTGTATAAATAACATTTTTACTGATGATGAGCCCTTACAAAATAGTCAAATTTTAAATTCTGATCATTTGAAAAAATTGTTGTAGATCAAATGTTTATTTTTTTTAATATAAATAAATTGCTCCATAACATCAATTTGGTCTTACAAGGGGTCACTCGATAACTGACACTGGTGTTGAGCTAATTAAAGTAAAATGTTTTTTGTACAAGGGAGAATTCAGAGGATGCTTTGGGTATATTTTGTGACCTTTCCAAGGCTTTCGAATGTGTTCACCATGAGACATCAATCAGGAAGATACATCATTATGGTGTAAAAACTTAGTGCTTAAACTCATTACATCATATGTAAATAATATTTAGAATACAAACGGTTGTTATTAATGGGTGTTTCTCACGGCTAAATTCTTGGCCAATTCCTGTCCTTTATATTAATGAGTTAAGCCATTAATATAAAATTAATTATACATTCTAGTATTTATTATAATTAGTACTTGGTAACGAATACCCATGATATAGTTTTATTTGCTTGCTATTTGATTTTCCGACTGAAAAGACAATTATTAAAATATAACGAAGTGAATAATGCTATAATAAAAGTAGTGCACTGATTCGTCAATAATTTGCTTTTAAACACTAATAAAACGAAATATGTTAAATTTACAACAGGTGAATACCAATGTGCTTTCAAATGGGGATGAGCAGTCTTGTTGAATCTGCTGTTTTTCTCTGAATTAGAGTTGACGCGAAGCTTCAATGGGGCCCTCATATATCTAAACTAGCTAGCTACAAAAAGTTTAGGGGCTTATATTTGTTGAAACAGCTAGATTAGTTTATTTTAGTTATTTCCATAGCATAATGGGTAATGCGACTGGCATTGAAATTATCTCTGTTTGCAGAGAAAGGGAGCCATACGAGCAATTTATAACCTAATTCCGAAGGAATTCCTTAGATATTTAAAAAAAATCAACATATTAACTTTAGCTTCAATATATTTACAAAAAATTTATATGTATGCACACAGAAACAAGCACAAGTTACTTTTACCAGTTACTTTTACCAGTTACTCGACTCGCAGAGTCAGTATTTCCTTTATGGGGCAATGTATACGCTTTCACAACAAAGACTCGGATAGTATGCAGGCCTATCAAAAAAAAATTATTTTAATTTTATAAGACCCTCTGGGTTTCTTGTTGGTCCTTCTCAGGATAGAGGTTTTTACTGAACCAGAAGTAAAAATGACTTACAATAAGTATTCTTGTAATCTATATTGAATAAATATGATTCTCTTCTATTCTAGGGTATTCTAAATGTGTGAGCAAAATTTGTTTAATTTTCTTTTGTATTTTATTCCTATTTGTATTTCATAACTTCTATTTTTGTTCTAATATTATAATCCAATGTGTGTGTGTGAAAAACTGGCTCCTGAAAACATGTACATTTCCAGTTCAAGGGTAAAAAGCAAAATAAATAATTAATTCTAATGTTGTTTAAAGTGAAGTTTTGTGTATAATAAAACAAATGTAAGCTTAAACAATGAATTTTATTTAAAACTAAAATAAAACAATTATTCTTACAAGTACTACTATATAACATACTAATTAAAATTATCATAAAGCCCTAATCTAATTATTGTTCCTTGAGGAAAATGGGTTGCATTTCAACACTGCATGGTTAAACTATAGCTTTGAGCGAAAAAAGAACCAGGGATAGAATCACCGGTAGCTACGACCAGACTTAGACAGAATTAAAAATTAAATTATTTATCACCACAGTGGCAATAACTCTTTTACACTTTGATAGGTACTTAATATGATGTATAAATGAACTGTATGTTCATTTTTCATCTTAATTCTATTGATATGTTTCTTAAATATATTGAAATTATTTTAAACCCTCACTGACCAATTTTCAGACACAATAGTATGATAACAGCAATGATCGTTCGACACTCTATTTGCCATTTTAAATAAAACATTTTTTTCCAATTTTTATTTTACCACTTTTTCGGCGTGATTGATACACATATTGGTACCAAATTTCATCTTTCTAGAGCTAACGGTCACAGAGATTAAGCGAGGACGGACAGACAGACATGGCGAAACTATAAGGGTTCCTAGTTGACTACGGAACCCTAAAAAACTGACTAACGTATGCCGTAGACCCGTAGAATCACAGACATGATCACAGAGTATAAATATCAGTCAAGAGGTCAGTGTAAAATGCATGGTATTCGCTATACACTGTTCACTGACGTCTTAACTGCATAGTACTGTCACAGTCTATAAATCCATATGTTTTTATTATGCTGTGGTACTGTACTTCTATCTATTAGTACATAATTCATGTTGTGTTGAATAATAATAATATTAATTTATTTAATATCTTATCTTTCTTTATTATCTTTTATTGACAAATTTCGATTGTATAACATTAACCGTCCGTGGGTTGAGGAATACACAACCTCGGACGTTCAAAAATCTTTAGAATAGGTCGGCTCGACCGGGGTAGGCCGATCTCGAGTTGCAGAATGCTCTTAGTGATTTTACAAAAGTAAAACCATAGCCCCTTTTAAATATACCTGGAGCGCCATCTAGTGAACAATTTTGTATTAATCTCAAGTAAACAACAGCGAACGCAAGCAAAACAGATGCGAACGCAAACAAAATAAATGCGACATTACATCTGCATTTTGCAAACATTTAATTTGCTTTAATTGTAAAACAGGCATAAAAATAGGCATTTATTATTTACTCCCCACGCTGACGCCGGGTAATAAACTATACGTCTGACGTACACGAGGTGGTTATACCGCCATCTAACGGCAGGTTTTATCATTCCTACAGACCCATAGTCGACTTTTACGACACTTAGGTACCTATCGGACGAAATCAAAGTATAAATCGTTGGACGAAATAAGATGATGTAATTCTCTTACTAAAAATTATTATTAATTTATGTTTATGTAACTATTTACGTATTTACGACAGCCACGAGACGAAATAAGGTGATAGATTATTTTACGCCATCATCACACAACCACACAATATTATTTGTACTACGTACTAGAACAGATCGGAAGACCAAAATATCTGTTATAGATGATAATAACCCCTGGGAAGGGTGATCGCTACCAAGCTATTTCTAATTTGTCTTGTGTTGTTAATTGTAAACATTATTGTAAGCTATTATTGGAAAAAAAATAGTCCCGCTGGGTTTCTTGCTGTTTCTTCCCAGGACAGAGGCTTTTTTGCGAACCAGTGGTAAACGAAAAAAGTGATTTTCAATAAGTAGTTATAATCTACATTGAATAAAAAAAGCTTCTGTTTCTGTTTCTGGACAAATTTTGAAAATGTCGGGAGTTTGGGATCGTTGGCGGGAGAAATAAATATTAATAATAAAAAGTTTATTTTTTTAATAAGGAGGCCACAAAATTTACTTTAATCGAAACGTACAAGTTCACTTAAATTTTAGGTTGCCACATATATTTGGTATGGACTTAACTAGAGTCCGTTAGTAATATTCAGAAAAGATTTAAAATTCAAACAATTTACTTCAAAGTTTAGTCTAATTACTAATTCAACTTTATTAAATCAAAGGTCATACATTATCTTTCCGCAAAGCTGTTTGTCTGGAGTTTTTGAGTTTTGTCGGGAGTCTGGAGAATAGTCTGGGAAATGATATTGTTTCTAATAACTTTGCACCCACTCAGTGAACGTTATATTCTGATAAAAACAAATAAAAACCATAGTTCACGTCGAATTCTACTACCGCATGCCTAAGCCAACGATGGGCGCCTTAGAA